TTTTTCCGACAAAAAATACTAAGGTGTTGTTTGTTTTTTCGAAACAAAAATATCTGAAGTCTGCGAACCACCTCTGCAACCCTCAGTAGTAGAAGAGGTGGAACAAACGACTGCAACATTTAAAAAAAAAAAAAGTTTGTTTGTTTTTTAACGTTTGCAGACTGTTGCAGTAAGTTAAAGTAAGACGTGAAAAAGTTTAAAGCAACTGGTTTAATGTTGCGCCACACAGCACATGCGCAACAGTTTTTAAGTCAGAAGTCTTCTGAAAAACAAACAGCTGCGAAGGATCAAGTGTTGAACGTATGCTGCGCGGCGCAGCAATAAGAGGTCAGAAGAGGTTTTTTAGAAAAAACAAACAGCACCTAAGCAACCATCTTACATTTAGTGCATCTCTTTCATTTCTTTTGAATTTTCTAATTATATTATTATTATTTTTAATTAATTATTTACATAAATGAATAGACGTTTAATCATTAATGGCTATTTTACAAAACATTTTTTTTCACCTCAATTATAAAGTAAAAAGTGATAATCCTACATAAATTTTTTATTTAAATTTCATTGGTATTTTAATTTTAGATGTTTTTATATAACAGTTATATATTTAATTAGGATGTAATAATGATGTCATCCAGTTTTTTGGTACGGTCCTACCGATTGAACCATCGAACCAGTAAGACGATCGGTCCGTTTTTTACAACATTGGTCTAAACGATACTCGTTTAAGGCTTTAACTGAGAACAGTTGTTTTAACTCCATTAATTTTGCCATCTGGTCATCGAATATGAGTTGATTTGTACACAACAATTTTTCTCAATACATAACAATTTATGTTTTATAAGATTGTATTGTACACTCATATAAAACATAAATAAATTGTTATGTATTGAGAAAAACTTTAGTGTCCAAATCACTTCATTGAATTCCCCCCTCCCAATCTACATGTAATATCGATCTCAAACTTACTCTAGATGGAATTAATAACTCTCTTCCCTTAGAATATGGTGTGTTATGATTAAGGTGACAATGAATTAAGTTTGAGTTCAAACCTATTCTGAACATGTTGAAAATTATAATCCAACCTGATCTGTCTAACTAAACGAATTTAGCATTTTTCCAATCCAATCTAACATATTAAATAAAGTTCGGGCTGAAATAATACCATATTTTCTATTCTATGTAGTTAGAAAAGTATGTTTCCTAAGTGAAAAGTGAAAACATGAAGTAATGTTATGACATGATGGTAAAGAGGATGAAGCTCGGACTATCACGAAATGAAGATAGCAAAATTTTAACAGGTCATAACTTATTTGTTATAAGTCGGATTTTAGTGTTCCTTATATATCTGAAATCCTTGTCACGACCACTACAACTTTATTTATAGATATTGGTTCTATCTGTTATTTTATTCTTAATGCTTATTTTTATTTTTAATTTATTATATCGTTAATAGAAAATATAATGCACATAAATCACATAATTCACATAATACTCAAATAATTATTTCTTATTATTTCAAAATAGGTTACAATTGTTGATCCTAACTATTACATCATCATTCTAATTTTTAGCCAGAAACACTGGTGCTACACTAGGGTGGGAAGGGTGGCCTACCGGTTGGATTTGTTGAGTGAGCTCAGCCAGATCCACAACACTTTCCTCGTTTCCCAGTTGTGGAAGTGCGTGTTCAATGATGAGGCAGTGGTCCCTTTGGATGGCATTCAGGTCGAAGAACGCATGAATTATATTGGAAGGCCGGTAGCGATAATGGAGAGAAAGATGAAGGTTATGTGCAACAAGGAGATACCTTTGGTAAAGGTTCAGTGGCAACATCGGATAGGCTCCGAGTGAATCTGGGAGCCGGAGGCGGAGATGCGTGAGCATTATCCTAAGTTATTCGCGACAGCCGACTTCGAGCACGAAGTCTAGTTTAAGTGGGGGAGAATTGTAACATCCCGATGATGAGGTATTTTCAATTTTAACCCTAAGTATGAAAGAATATTACATTTTGACCCCTGGGTTTGAGAAAGATTGCAAGAATGGCCTATAGTGGCATTTTGGTAATTTTAGCCAGGGATTAGTATGCTGAGCGTATGTTGTGTATGCTAGCCGTACTACGGCGGACCCTAGTAAGCTGGGGATACACCGCGTATGTAGGGCGTACGTGGTAAGTCCTCAAACCCTAACTTTTAGGATTTTTTCCATATATAAGCATCGTTATATCTCATTAATCATTCCCTTACCAACCTCCATTTGAGAAAAGCGAGCCCCAAGCTAACCCTAAGTGAGAAGAGTGCATCTTGAGCTTATCTTTGTGTTTTGGTTGCATTCTTGAAGAAGAAGAAGGTGGTGAGAAGAACATGGAGCTTGGAAGCAACTTGGATATGAGACTATTTCCTTGTTTGCAACCTCCATGAGGTAAAAATTTCTTAACTTGATCACCCTATCTTGTAGATCTAGCCATTTCTTCATTTAGAGCACTTTTGGTCCCAAATATGATAATTCTTGAGCATGACATGCTCTTAACCAAATAAGTCATCCTTTCAGACCTTATGAGGGGTCTTGAGTCATAAAAATATGGTCTTGATGCTTAGTTTCTCTCCATGCATATTTTTGTATTAAGCACTTTATGGACATGCAAAGTCATAAAGTTGGAAACTTTATGACTCTTAGTGCTATTTTAGCCTTGGATCTGAAGTTTGGACGTGAGAGATTGATGCATTAAGCTCTTATTGAGAAAAAGAGGTTCTGAGCGTATGACATGTGTACCTCAGCGTACTGCGCGCGTACGCAATCAATCTCCCATCTCCGGTTAAAGGTCGAGTATGCCTAATGTAGGAGCTGAGTACGCCCCGCGTACTCGGCTGAGTGGACCAAGTTGGCTCCTTGACCCATTAACTTTGACTGTGACTTTGACCAGGGCTGACTAAGTTTAACTTAAGGGTATTTTGAGCTATAGTTAAGCCTTAGCCTATATCTGTTGAATAGGTGACCTGTATAGCCGGTATCTGGGGCAGTGTATTGTTCAACTATTCGTTAGACCGTGAGGTGAGTTTTCCTCACTGTATCCGTGGGTCAAAGGCACCAAGGCCTGCCCACTAGATTGTTTATGTTGGTCAGGATAGTGATATTATATTTGTAATTGTTTAGTAGATTCGTATGGTTATCTGTGTTGTTGGCTCTGTGTTCATGTTTGTTTGTTACATATGTCGACATGTTGTGTTGGGTTGTGGTGTTCCTTCTTTGTGTTGTAGGCCAAGACACTCGGGGACAACCAGATAAGCTATAGGCCCTATGAGGTGGTCCAATCAGGCCGTTGGCCCATGGAGCGGTCTGGATAGGCTGTAGGACCTGTGAGACGATCCAGTCATGTCGAAGGATCTTAGAGCGATCCCAATAGGCTAAGGCCCTGCGAGGCGGTCCAGTTAGGTTGGTTGGTCATATTGCATGTTTTTCTGTTGTGGTGTGCTGGTACTTTGGTGGGAGTCACTAAGCTTTGACTTACAGCTTTAGTTTATGGTTTCAGGTACTTCCAAGGATCGTGGGAAGGCAAATGTGTGACCGTACACAACTTCCAATTTTTATGTATTCGCGTCTTGGAAAAACTCTAATTTGAAGTGATGCTTTTGAAACAATGACTATTTTTGTAAAAAATATTGATTCATGGTTGGTTTTAAAAGTTTTAAATTTCTTGTGATTTTTTGAGTGTTACATGTGAAATATGATGAATTTGTCCGAATGAAGAAATTTAAAAATGGAAACTTAATTTTCACCAAATCATTTTGTTTTTCATGTTAGTTTTATGGTTTATTTACAACTTTTACATTTAGTAATGTCATTACAACTTTGACAATCAATGAATTTTAATATACGGTATGAATTAAGTATTAGAATAGGTTTCATATAACTCCTCTAAAAATATTATAATATAATTAGAATTTAAATTTGAATAGAAACATGGATAAAACAAGGGATATAAAAAGGGTAAATGGCACAAAAAACACTCTTTTTACACAGAAACTCGATTTTGACATTGTGTTTTTTTTGTGTCAATTTTGACATCGTGTTATTAATTTTTTACTAAATGTAACCATATGACCTACTAGAGTCGGTTAACCGGTTACCTGCCCCTAATACATCTTCGTGGTATCGTCCATGTCACCCTTTTTCCCCAAACTTAACATGTCATCCCCCTCATCCCCTCATTTATTATCCTACGCAAAAAAGGAGAAAAAGTTTCTACCCTCGTTAACTAGGGTTTCTACCGTCTGTAAGTTCGAAGAAAGGTGAAAGCTTACCATGAGGAACCCACAACGTAAGATAAGGAGAGCACAACCGTTCAATGAAATGGAAAAGGGACCATATTACGACTCTGATTTTGAAGAAAGTGAATTAGAGTCGGAATCGGAGAGTGAATCAGAAAGGGCATTTGTTGTCGATGAAGAATTGGGTGACTATGATGCAAATGAACACACCGCTTTTCCACAGTTCAAGGTACCTTTTGATGACTTTCTTTATGATTTCTGTAATGTTCCTGTTTACAATAAGAGGGAAAATGTTGATGATGAAGTCATTAGAGAAGAAGGTCATTCTGATAATGAAATTGAAGATGACAAGGATGAGATTGATCAAAAACCAACCAAATATAGTGTTCATGACCCTTCTGTTCACTGGAAGAAAATGAAACCACATTTTAGTGAAAAGTATGCTAATCATACTAAGTTAAGGTTCTGCCTGACTAACTATGCAGTTCACAATGGTTATCCAATTAAGGCCACCAAATCTTCTAGTACAAGGCTTCAAGCAAAATGTGGTTTAGACAATAAAGGCAAGAGATGTACCTTCAAGCTGTGGCCATCCTGGATGAACAAAAGAAATCATTTCAAATTAAGGGACTTAATAATAAGCATACTTGTGTTAGGGAGTACAAGCATGCCACATTGGTTAATCCTAACTGGATAGCCAAACAATTCTTGAAAAAATTGTGTGTTAGACCAAAAATGAAAGCCAGGGAGATGAAAGAAGAAATTAAGAAGAAATTTTTATGCATTGTGTCTAAGGGACAATGCTATAGGGCTAAGAGGAAAGCACAAGAGATTTTAACTGGAAAGTTATCAGAGCATTATGCTCGTATATGGGAATATGGAGGAGAGATCATCAGATCAAACCCTGGTAGTACAACAAAGGTTGGAGTTGATATCAAAGAAGATGGTAGCAGTGTTTTTAAAAGATTCTATGTATGTTTTAAGGCTATAAAGGATGGTTGGATTAGGGGTTGCAGGAGAGTCATTGGACTAGATGGTTGTTTTCTAAAAGGGCAATGCAAAGGGGAGTTACTCACTGCAATAGGTAGGGATGGGAACAACCAGGTATATCCAATAGCCTGGGTTGTGGTTGATGTTGAAAACAAGGACAACTGGGAGTGGTTTATTAAGTTGCTTGTGAAAGACCTTGGCTTAGAGTTAGGTGAATGGTTGACAGTTATTTCTGATCAACATAAGGTATGCTTACTCATTTTTGTTTGTTTACTCTTTTATATATGGTTAGTCTTTTTTGTATCTTAATTGTTTTTTGTATGAATGTAGGGATTAGTAGAGGCTGTAAAGGAGAATTTACCATTAGTTGAGCATACGCAGTGTGCCAGACATGTGTATGTCAACTTTAAAAAGGTGTACAATGGGATTGATTACAAGAGACATTTTTGGGCAGCTTCAATGTCAACCACAAAGTCATCTTTTCTTGAGACAATGGAGGAACTCAAAGAAATGAATGGGGGTGCTTATGACCATCTCATGGCAAGGAACCCATAGAGTTGGAGCAGAGCATTTTATAAGGAAGGTAGAGCATGTGAAGCAGTAGAAAATGGTATATCAGAGAGCTTCAATTCATTAATTTTGGAGGCAAGGACTAAGCCACTACTTACTATGTTGGAGGAGATCAGAATGTATGTTATGGAGAGCTTTTATAGGATGTCTACAATACACTTAACATGGAGGGGAGATGTATGCCCTACAATATTGACAAAGCTGGATGACTGGTGTACAGATATGAGGTAAGATTATTGACTAAAATTATTCAATATTCATTAAGATTATTCACTAACATGTATTGCATGAATTACAGGTTGTGGAGTGTTGTAGCTAGTGACACAAATGTATTTGAAGTAAAACTAGGATTTGAGTCTTTTCAGGTGGACTTAGGAGAAAAAATCTGCACTTGTAGATTATGGGAAATATTTGGGATTCCATGTATCCATGCATGTGCAGCTATGAACCACACACAACAACAACCTGAAACATTGATCAGCTCATGGTTTTCCAAAGAAAAGTTTGCAGAGACTTACAAAGGAAATATCAAGCCTCTAAATGGTAGTAGAATGTGGGCCAGGACACCATATGCCAAGCCACTGCCACCACCTGCAAGGAGGATGCCAGGAAGACCTAAAACCAGAAGAAGGAAACATGTCACAGAGAAGGATGGAGAGTACAGGAAGTTAAAGTCTGTTGGAGGTACAAAGATATGCCAGAACTGTTGGGAGGAAGGGCATAACAAAAGAACCTGCAAGAATCCAACTAAGCCCCAACCTCAACATGAAAAGAAAAGAAAGGGTAGGCTAGTGACTAGGGATGTGGCAATGAAGAAAACAACAGCATCCACAAGTCAAAAGATCCAACACACTCAGGAAATGGATGGGAAAATGGATGGACAGGCAAGGTGTAACAGTCAAAAAAAGGTAAGCTTTATGATTTTCAAAGTCAAATCTTTAGTGTCTACTATTGTTAACACAATTACTGTTTTATTAACAGGGTAAAGCAAAGGCATCTCAATCTGTTAAAGGGATACATGAAGGTAGTAGCAAGTATTTTGAAGATGAAAGGCTGCAAGATGTTATGTTGGTACAGGATTTGAAGGTAGATGCACATGCTACAGAGTTGCTTGCATCAGGATACTCAGAGGATGAGGTGTATCATCTACTATATGAACAAGATTTAGATGTTGAAGTTTTGGTTGAAGTTCCACCTGTTCTTGAAACTGTGCATGAAGAAGTTCCACATGTTGAAGTTTTGGCTGAAGTTGACATTGTACCAGAAACAGAGGATGAAGGCATTGTTGAGACACCACCATCCCAAAGGTTGATGAGAACAAGGAGACCTTCAGAGAGAATTACTAAAATTCATACTAGAATGAAGGCTGTTGGAAAGAAGGTTGTTGGACCAGGTCGAAGTAGGTTGGACCCTGTTTCTTTGGAGTAGATTAGGGTGCAGAAGGTTAGGGTTGATGGGATTGGTTTGTGTTATCCTTTTTTGTATTATGTAATGGACCCTTAAGTAATCCCCTTGACTGTAATTATCTTTTGTATATGGTATACCCAAACATTACTACCCCTTTTGTAAATGGGATGAGTAAATATTGCCAAAATGATCAATTATCTTTTGTAAATGTTATCCTTGTTATGGTGTTTTTTGTTACATAAGTAAAGGGTATTGTTAGTATAGTGTTTATGGTCAAGCATTATTATCTTTTATAATCCCAACTGTTACATAAGGTAAGGGTATTTAGGTCCTTTCTTTTTTGCTTACTGGTTTGTTCAATAAGTAAAGGGTAGTTTGTGTAACAACCCGAAATTCATATCCTTAATTGTAACCCTTTTCGCGACTCGTTCCGATCATCCAATCGCCGTTTCCGATTTCATTTCTGTTTCCGACCTTTTATTAAGTCGTTAATGTGAATTTTATTTTATGACTTAATAAGTGTCTTAATACCCTTAGAACTCAATCTAACGTCTCATATTAATGATCGGAACATTTTTAGAACCAACCATATAGGGTTACGGCAAATTGGCCGGGTGCGACCAAAAGCCCCGTCTAACGCCGGTATCGGGTAGAATTCTACCATGTCCCGAACTTGGAAACTATTTAAAGTGAATCAAGTCTCCATTTTGAAGCTTTTGCTCCATTTTACAACTATCACTCCAACCTCTCTCCTCAAACTAGATTTTAGGGTCAAAATCTCAAGTTTAAGGCTTCAAATCACCAAGGTACCTTCCCTAATTTGTTATGCAACATCTTTAGCCCTCAAATTCGAGTTCAAACCATGGGATAGGACCATTAACATGATTTTATGGCCCTAGAACAGTCCTAGGCCGTAAACTCACATAAAGAGGGTTTTTGGAGCAACAAAACCCTTCCAAATCTCAATTGGACCTTGTATATGGCTACAGGACTTTATGAAATGGAATTAGAATGCCTCAAACCAAGATTTGAAGCTTTGTATATGAGTTTACGTCCTTGGAAGGTGCCATGGCCGTAAACACATATTATGAGGGTTTTTAAGCCATTTAACCCTTCCAAAACACAAACAAGACTTAGATATGATTTTTAGAATATTAGAATTGGACTTAGAACACTTCAAACACAAATTTTGAGAGGTTTATATGAGTTTACAGCCAAGGCATGTGCTTGGGCCGTAAACTCCTCAAAAAGGGGTATAAAATCAATTCTAAGGTGTTAGAAAGCCATCCAACACCACCAAAAGCCTTGGAATAAATCATAGAACCAACCAAAAATAGTTTAAGGACTTTAAACACATCAAAATCCCAAATTTGAGAGTTTATGGCCATAGAACATGCCCCATGGCCATAAACTCCTAAATGGATGTCAAATGGTGCCCAAAAATTGATTTCTAGACTTGTTGGAATTTTTAGAATCACATGTGATTAATTTTGGGACCTTAACAACACTTATTCTATGAGATATGTGAGTTTACGGCCATAGAACCCATGCCTAGGCCGTAAACTCCCTTAAGTGTTGTATTTGATGATTTTAATTCAATCCAAGCCTTAGTTAAAATTATTCCAAGCATTTCCAAGTGTCCATATCCATTTGTGAGCCATTAAACACCATAAATCACCCCTCCATGAGTTTACGGCCGTAAACTCATGGGGAATGGGTGTTTAGGCTGTAAACATCATTAGGGAGTTTACTCTTGGGGAGTAAACTCAAATCCCAAGTCCCTCGCTTCAATTCCCATCCGTAAATGTCACCCGGGTCACTCCAAACACCCGTTTTGAGGTGTTTTCGTTCGTTGGAGTGTAACTTCATATCTAATTAGAGTTTGTAAATCTAATTAGATATAATTGTATTCCATTTCATTTTACATAGGAACCTCGCATGTTATCAGGCCTCGATTCGACATTTAGCATCCGAAATCGACACATATCCGCGTCCGGTGAGTTCATACCCCTACCCTTTTTCAATGGTTTTTCAATGTTTTCAGGGGGGAATACAAGCAAAAGTACAAGTATATTTTGTACTCAATCACATGATTTCAATTAAATGGCTTCATAATTGTACACTTTAAGAATTCAAAACCTTTTAAACAAACTGTTTTAACTTGCAAAGTTGTTTGTTTTTAACCCGATTTTCAATTCTTATAATACACTGTTATATTGTGTACTTTGTAATTGATTGTTCACATTTAAACTGATAGAATACATAAACCACTGTAGTGTCTGTAATAAAACACTAAGGTTCGAGTGTAAAAGACAGACTCCATTAGAAAACATAAAACATCTATATGTCCTTAACAATACACCTAGGAACGAGTGTAAAGGACTATAATCATTAAACGACACCTAGGTTCGAGTGTAATGTCCTTAATAATACACCTAGGGTCGAGTGTAAAAGGACAGATATCATTAAATGACACCTAGGCTCGAGTGTAATGTCCTTAATAAAACACCTAGGCTCGAGTGTAAATGACAGGTACGTAGAGTATAGTCAGTCGTAAATACTACTTTCCTAGTCGAAAAGTAAAGAGTAATCTTAATGATTGGAGACACGTCCTTGTAACACTTCCATGGCACGAGATAGTGGGGGACTAACCCTGTAACCAGAATCTTCGTTCGTAGGAGAGCGTGGCTTGAGTGTATAGATCTATACGGGACTGACAATCCCACACCTGGCTGCTAGCTACAGCCGAATCGAATGGTTCAAGGGTGACAAAAGTCATAAAAAGGATACTGACCATGGTCCGAGTCATATCCAGTCTAAGTATGGTTAAGGACTCGCAATCTAGATTATTAACGTTTCAGACTGATTTACTAGCTTTATGTACGTAGTAAAGCTAATGTACATTTAGGGATTGCAGATACACACACAGTCAGGAAAACATGGGGTTTTCCTGGGAAGAACACTGAACACAACTATAACCAGTAAAGGCACACACACACACACAGTCAGGGAAACATGGGGTTTTCCTAGGGAGAACACTGAACATAACCATAACCAGTAAAGACACACACACACAATCAGGGAAACATGGGGTTTTCCTGGGGAGAACACTGAACATAAACAAAACCGGTAAAGATATACACACAGTCAGGGAAACATGGGGTTTTCCTGGGAAGGACACCGAACATAGTCAGAAACTAGTAACAGTTCACACACACACAGTCAGGAGAACATGGGGTTCTTCCTGAGTAATAGTAGTACGAAATTAGAGAAGTGTAATAAGTTAAACAATTGAATTACATTTCACAAGAACAATCATGTTTTAATTAAACACCGTTTACCTTACTTTCGGATTTGGAAACTAACTTTACATAAGAAAATATGGGAGTTTCTTGGATAACCACTTTTCAGGAAAACAAAGGAACTCGTACATTTTCAGAAAAACTAACCGCTTATGAACTCGCCAGCTTTATGCTGATTTTCAAACCGCTTGTATTCTCAGGTCCATGTTAGACAGGTACCCGAAGATCCTTTTGTGTGAAGACGGAGTTCTCAGAAGACTCATTTTGTATTATTCATATATACTATGTATCACTTGTATAACTTATGCTTTTGAAACAAATGTAAAACTTTCATATATGTAATGTAATGGTTGATTTACTTTACTTACTATGTACATTGGATTTGATACTCTACGTGGAGTCAACCCCGGAAATGTTTCCGCCTTCGGTTTTCGGGGTGTGACAGTTTGGTCCACTTCTAACATATACCATCATACTTCCATAAGTAAAGGGTATTTAGGTCCTTTCTTTTTTGCTTACTATTTTGTTCAATAAGTAAAGGGTAGTTTGGTCCACTTCTAACATATACCATCATACTTCCATAAGTAAAGGGTATTTAGGTCCACTTCCAACATATACCATCCTTTCTTTTTTTCTTACTGGTTTGTTCAATAAGTAAAGGGTATTTTGGTCCACTTCCAACATATACCATCCTTTCTTTTTTGCTTATTGGTTTGTTCAATAAGTAAAGGGTAGTTTGGTCCACTTCCAACATATACTATCATAATTCCATAAGTAAAGGGTAGTTTGGTTCACTAGCATCAGACTTCCAATTCACAATCACAAACATATACACTTCACCATATATATCAATATTAGTCAACATTGGAACATACAAACTTAAAGGTAGTACATCAATACATCCAGACACAAAAATGGTCAATATTGGACCTTAATTGGCATTAATTCATACCGAAAGACCTACCACAACCTCTTCCTACTTAACCCTTGTACACCATCCACATCAAAATCCCTACCATGACTACCAAAATAACAAGCAAACCAATCACAACCCTAACAAGATCCATCAAAATTATTTCATCATGATGAGGGTTCCCTTTTCCGTGTCCAGTGCTTTTTTTTCTTCTTTGCCATAACTTCAAACAGAAGTTCCTTATACCATGGACTTACTTCACCGTCATACCATTCAAAGTAGCCACAGTCTTCAACTTCATCGGGCCAGTACCTTGTCACACCCCAAAACCACGAACGGCGGAAACGTTCAGGGGTGGAGGACGTCATATACAATATCACAACAGTGTAAAATAGTAAACAAGCAACAACATCATCCATTGCATTATAAGTAAAGTTTAATACATGTGTGTTCTTTCATTGTAATAAGACACCAAAGTAAAGTTTTAATACCTGTCTACTGATGACCTGAGAATACAAGTTATTTTGAAAGAGAGTATCAGCTTTAAAGCTGGTGAATTCATTAGAATTTAAGTGTCCTTGTCTTGTTTTGAAAAACTGTTATGAATGTCATGTAAACCTTTAAGTAAGACAGTTGATATAAGTATGAAAACCCTAAGAAATCCCTTATTTCCTACTAGTATGAAATGTAGTCTTCTACCAAGACCCGAATGTTTTGTTATGACAATATAGTCTTCTACCAAGACCCGAATGTTTTTGTAAGTAAAAATGATAGCTTTTCCTTTCTGTTGAATAGTACTAAAAGTA